AAAAAACGACATAGTAAGGTATGACTTCCGAAATCACGAAAAAACGACATAGAAAAACTCCTCAAAGTTTCTGTTTTGAAGCTAAAGAGGGAAGAAAAACAAAGATTGATTATTTTCTCCACGACCAAACAATTTCAGGAAATGTTTAAAAGATACTTGTTTGTTTTCTTTCCAAAAGTTATTCAGTTTTATAAAAACAACACATCGCACATTCTTTAGAGTTTAAAATCTGATAAACATTTGTTATTGAGGATTTAGTCAGTAAACTGTAATTTTAAAAACATTTATTTAAACAAATCACACTTTCCATCACAGTACGAAGAGTTCACATTCCAATGAGTTTAAAAACGTTTAAAAATCACATTTACAGGGTTCATTTAAAATCGAGAAAAAATTAGAGTCTAGTTAAGTGAAAGTGTAAATAACAAAATAACTGAACTATATATACAAACTCTACGTGTGACATATATCATATTATTAAATGATTAAGTGTATTTAGAAAAGAGAAACCCTAACATTGTTATTGAGTCAAATATTCAGTGTGTAGGATTTAGTGACATCTAGTGGTGGAGTTGCAGATTGCAAGTCCTCCAGAGGGCGACAAAGTGACTGTGGAGAAACCTCAATGTCCAGTGTAGAGACCAAAAGAACGAGGTCCATGATATAAACAGAGAGTCCTCCGCAGGGTGTCTGCGATCTGAACGTCTTATCTGTCCTGGAAAACTGAGCTGAGAGGGACGTCTAGAAAACTCTGCTTTGGATGAGCAGAAGAAAAAAGATGCCGATTATTCCAGAAGTGAACCAAAAAAAATAAATAAACTTTTTAAAAAAGAAAGAACACGCCTACATTTCCATCATCAGCTGTCCCAGCCCTCCAGGACGGGCAGGAACGGCAGGTCGGTGCTGCCCAGGTACGTCCTCCCTCGGTGCTGGAAGACGTCGCTGATGGCCCACGTCAGACGACCTTCGGGGTCGTGAAGCGATCCCACGAGCTCGCCGTCCAATCCCAGCTCCAGGACCAGAGCGTAGCGCGGCAGCAGGAGGCCGTACCAGCTCAGAGGAATCACCTGGAGACACGAACAGGTTCCACATCGTTAGTGGAAAGAAATGAAAAACAAAGTCAACATTTAGTGAAAAATCATTTGTAAATGAAAAAGAAATAATAAAGAGAATAAAGAAAATGAACGTTCTTTGAATAGTGAACAATAAGTAAATCTTTAAATTTGACTCCTCAAACATTTTACACATTAAATTCACCAGAAAACACTCGATACTATATTTCATGGACTCACGTCAAGTTTTTAAAGATTATATGTGAAACAAAGTCACTTTTCTGGAAGGAAGTAAAACACTGAGGGAAAAAACGACTTTAATTGGTTTGAAGCGAAATGAAAGACGCTTCCCAAAGTTCACCAAGAGTTCAAGTGTGTGTGTGTGTGTGTGTGTGTGTGTGTGTGTGTGTCTTGTCAGATTTCACACTCTCTGCTCTGGAACAAAGACCTTTACTCTCCTCTGACTGAATCATTGAGAACCACACAGAGTTTTCACCAGAAGAATCGTCTCGGCTCTTTATTCATCTTTAAACATTTGAATTTTAAATTCAATCTGTTGTGAAACTTTTTAATTTCGATTAGTTTTCAGTTTAATCTGTCTTCTTTATTTATTTTTAATTATTTAACTCATCATACTTTCAATGAGGTTTTCATTCATTTATCTTTTACATTATTTTATCTTGGCTCAGTTTAACCTCATCTTTAAATCTAAAACCTTTTCACAGATTTGATTCTAAATAATTTTCCTGAGTTTGTGTTTCAGTCGACAACATGAAAACAAAACAGATTCAAGATCTGCACGATCACAGATAAACATCTGATTCTCACTCTTTTCTTTACTCTTCAACATCCTGATCATTTCCATCATATCTCAAACAACATTCACAGGAAGTTATTAAATATTCAAATGAACTTCTCACTGACCTTGGCCAGGAAGCGTTTCACTGCCGGGTACGGAGCGATCGCGTCCAAGAACGGAGGCACGAGCTTCCGGAACCGTGGCGTCGTTATGCCAACCAGGAATGTTCCGTGGTCACTAAGGCGGATGTTGTCAGGGTAACCGATCATGTTGTCCATGATGATCTCCTTGGTGCCGGTCCTCGGGCCCTTCAGCCAAAATCTGAGCCAGAGAGACGATTAAATACTTGATACCTGTGTGTGTGTGTGTGTGTGTGTGTGTGTGTGTGTGTGTGTGTGTGTGTGTGTGTGTACCTCAGGATGCGTCCGATGCTGGTCTCGGCGAGCAGCAGGAAGTGTTCGTCAGGCGACAGGACGATTCCGTTGGGCATGTAGAGCGAGTCGAGCAGGACCTGCACACTTCCTGTCTGAGGGTCGAAGGCGAGGAGACGACCGAGGCTGTTCAGCTCGATCACCTGAAACATGAAACACTTTCCTTTAAGATCTTCCAGGTAGATTTGTCTGATCTGATCTCATCTCATCTCCTCCTCCTCCTCCTCACCTCCAGTTTGACGTGTCTGCGTCCCCAGCGACTGGACGAGTCGGTGAAGTAAATGATCCCAGTTTGGCGAGAAATCTCCAGCCCGTTAAGAAACGCAAAGGGAACGCCGTCAGCACCTGACGACAGAAGGTTCCGAGTTTAGAATCCAGATTAAAATCAACCAGGTTTAATAAAACTACACAAAAACAAACCCTGAGAATTCGGCAGCAGCAGCGTCTTTTCTCCAGTTTGAGGGTCGACGCTGTGAAGCCCAAAGTATGAGTCAGCGACGATCAGCTGACCGCTGCGATCCAGACGAACGCCATGAGGACGACCACAGAGCAGCTCGTAGTCTGTGCTGCTGCCTACACACACACAGATACACAATAAACTGATGAGAGATCAGAATCATAATCAATAATCCAATTAAATGTGAGTTATTGAATCAAATCTATTCTTATCAGGCCAACGTTAAATCAAGATAAAGATCCATTAGCTGCTGGAGCTTAAGGATTTATAAAGAATGGATGTAAAGAAGAAAAGATGTTTTAGTTTTTATTAAAAATATTAAAAGAAAAGAATTTGAGCTGCTGAAGGAAAAAGAGAACGAACCACATTCGGGAAGCTTCTGTCCCATCTGTGTGAGGAGGGTGAGGCTGTCGTCAGGACCGATCCTCCACAGCTTCCCGTCCACTGTTCCTGTGTACACGTTACCTGACACACACACACACACATGCATACATACACACACACGCACACGCACACAGTTAAACATGGAGTAGACGTGTCACAGCAGCACCACAGGAAAAATAAATCCAGCAAACTCACCATTCTCATCCGCAGTGAAGGATTCTGGTCCGTGTAGTTCACCGGTGAACAGCCTGCGGCCTTTCTGCAGACGAGTGTTTGCAGCCAGAGGCCCCTCGAGGGCCGGAGGGGGCCCCTTCAGTCTGGAGGGATTCAGCAGAACTGACTTTAAATAAAACGTTAAAACTGCCACAGCGATCATAGAGTAAATGTTTGTGTGATTAAACGTACACATGTGGTTTGGGGTCTATGGGTGAAGGCAGCAGGTAAAGTCCGACAGCCACAGAGAGAAGAGCCACGAGTAAAGATCTTCTACCGAACCTGAGAAATAAAAAACACACGTGTGAATATGATCCATTTACAGCCGAGATATAAAATTAACCTTTATTCTTTTATTGAAATGTAAAAAATAAAATCCTGGATCTGCACCAAAATGTAATAAATTCTTTCTTGGACCAAGTTTTACAAAAAATCATTTCTGTGGTTTTTGCGTAAAGCGAATAATTTAAATTGAATTTAATAAAAACTGGAAACTGAGAAGAATCAGAAACTTTTACTTCTTTCATCCGTAAATCAACAATCTTCTCTTGTGTTTAAATCTCTCGGTATCTTGCAGGTGATAAATCTGCAGCGTCACACGTGAACTTTGACCTTCAGTCACATTCTTCACACGAACACGACCCCGCGCGTCCGTGTTGCATCGACGTGCGACTGCTTCACACCACGTGTCGACGTTACAGCGACTCAACGAGACGACAGTGATTTTAATACGTGTGTGCGTTTTTCTTTTTTCCATTTAGATTCAACAGGAAACTCGGTGAGCTCCATGTTTCCTGCTGACACACAGAGTGAAGTTTACCAGACATCTGGAAACGTTCGGATTGTCTGACTGTGTGTGGGAGGAAGAAGAACCGTGAGGTGGTTGTGATGTGACACATCTGCAGGGAGGAGAGAAAACCTCTGCAGCTGAGACAAGAGACACAGAAAACAAGCGTCTGCACTATCTGTTCTCCTCGTTGCTGCTGTGTGTGTGTGTGTGTGTGTGTGTGGACGAGTCTGTGTTTTTAAGAGCTGCTGGTGTCTTTTAAAAATCTGGTTCTTCTTAAAATGTCGTGATTTGTGGCTTTAAATGTAGAAAATCAGACACGATTGAGCAACATGATGCTTTTACTGACTGAGTTGTGTAATTCAGAAAATCTGCTGTTCGAGGTGTTGACGCAAGATTTAAACTTTACACAGATATTATTTAGAAACTAGTTGACAAAGTTACCAGAACACTTGTGGAGCAAAGTGTCTCATTCAGATGCATCATTAAAAAAACTGACATTTTAAAAACCTGACTTGTTGCAAAACTCAACTCTACAATATCTTATTTTCTCCTCGGTTTGAATTCACTCGTATTAAACACGATGATAAATGTTACAGATGCACAGAGAAGAGAATGAATTGATCTTAAAGGGGGAAGTTGAGTAACGTTACAATTTATCTCCCCGCCCACAGCTGTGTCATCCAAATCAGCTCAACTCACAGCTGTTGCTTCTATTTTAAGTCTTATCTTATTAAAACAAGTCCCTATTTCTGTGTACAATCCAAGCCGATAAGTGAGTAAACTCATCCTGAACGCAAAATAAGTTTTAAATAGACTTTCACGTCGCGGCTGTTTGAATGAACAACAAATAAATCTTAAATCGACAGATGTCTGAACGCAGTTTGGCGGCACCGAGGTAACTTTCGCGCTCGTGGCGTTCGCACGTGTTCTAAAGTTAAAAACAGACAAATCTGAAGTTTTTATTTTATTTCCTGGTTTAAATGAGAAAAAGGTGAAACTTACATTGTGCAGGTTTCAGTTGGAGTCTCTTCCTCCTGCAGGATCTCACTCAGGTCTGAGTCGATGGATCAATGCGCGCTCACCGTGCGTAAAACCAGACGCACACATCCGCTGCCACCCTTCAACATAAAAGCTGCTCTGGGTCGGTCGCAAATCTACTTGTACCTTTAGATTCTCAGCACATGTTTAACTTTCATTTACTTTTTACATTACTGAAGGAAATGTTGTTCAACTCATTCAAATGTTTTTGGATTTTCTGGGTTGCAGATTTTATTCTAAGTACATTTCTATACCAACAGTATTTCTGCAGTGAACTGTGAGTGTTATCTACACTTTCTGTATTTTTATTTATTTATATTCTCTTCTCGTGAGATTCATCATTACTCTAACAAAGAGTAAGTTAATTAAAGTAAATTAACAATTAATCGAAGCACAGAAAACATTAAATACGAGTGACCTGAAGCTTTGAGGCCTCTGAGGGGACGTTCCCTGCTTCATAATACTTCTGTCTAACTTCATGAATGGTTTGGAATCAATTAGAAAAAGAGACGTTAAAATGAAAACAAAGAACTGTATCAGATATCATCTCGAAGCCTCCATCCGCAAACACGAAGGGGCGTCCTCGTAAACTTTTATTTTGAAGGATGTTCTGCCTCTCACTCTGGATGCTTGGGGCTCGAACTTGTGAAGCTTCACAGGTGACAGAGTTGAATGTGGGAGAGAGAGGGGGGAGAGGGTGAGGGTCTTCGAGTTTGGGGTCAACCAGAGGACAAGAGGAGGAGCTGCAGCTCTGCAGCCAAAACACTGAAGACGTCCCTGAGGACTACAGCTACTACCAGGAGCTGCTTAGCTTAGCATAAAGACTGGAAACAAAGGGAAACTGTTAGCCAGAGTTTAATTAACTCTAATGGGGTTTGTAGATTCTGTGAATTTATATCTGATCTTATTCATTCAGTAAAAGTTAGTGTGAGTTAGTTTGTGTGTACTTTGGAGGTGGGGNTTCTCTTAAAGGTTCAGTGTGTAGAATTTAGTGATATCTGTTGAAGTTGCATGTTGCAGCTTAACACCCCTCACCTCACCCTCCCCTCCCAAACATGGAAAAGAAAGTGTGGTAGCTTCAGTTGTCATAAAAACTCAAAAGGTGTTTAGTTTGTCCAGTCTGGACTATAGTAAAAAAACATGGCAGCCTCCGTAGAGAGGACCCCCCTCAATATAAATATAAAGTATTTAAATATAAAGGGCCTTTTCTGGGTAAAGAGAACTACAATTCATACAATTTAGATGAAACAAACTAGTGAAAACATCATGAGAATTATTCTACATTAAATTTCTGTCAATAGCTCCCTTTCACCAAATCTTACACACTGGACCTTCAGTACTACGACTTTATTCTCGAATTCTCAATCAATATTTTTTTCCCTTTCAGTGCTATCATTCTCGTTAATAAACAAGACAGTATTGAACGGGCTGATTCTGTGGAGTTCAAGGCAGCATGAGTAAGCTGTGATCATAGTTCATTAATTTCTTCACTCGTGACAAGAAATATAATAGGATATACAAAACACAGTCCTTGCTAATTAGCTACAGCAGCATTGACTGCAGTTTCTCTGTGAAGGGATCCTAATTACATCTCTTTACAACAGAGAATGGGAATGACGCTGGGCTTGCAGCTTTACTATTGAAAACAATGACACGGTACAGATGGAGACATGATTAGAAACAGGTTGGAGGAAAATCAGGTGAAGGCTGTCCTGGCAGTGAAAGATGGAGCTACAGATTTGCGAGGTGACAGGAAAGTCAGGGTAGGACTTGATGAATGAATGAACACAATGATGAATCAAGATCCCGCTTCAAAAAGTGGATTAAACCTCAGCCCACAAGCGCAGAGCTCACCCTGCACTGCCAGTACAGAGCCTCTCTGTCTCTTTCAGCTCAGCAAGCATGATATTGTTGTTCGCTCATGACAGCTGCTTGTTCAAGACCCCCGAGAAGAGGCCGCTTACATTTACACCAAATCTGATCACATCTGATCATATTATTAGTCATTAAGGCAATTTACCAAACAGTTCCTCAAATATGATTAAGTCGCCAACAGGAGAGTCATTCGAGCCTGCATAAGTAACTCATACTTTTATTAAGTGCAGATTGTCGTGTTTATATGATAGATGAGATGGTGTTTCTTCATTTCCTGTTCTGAGTGTTTTTTATTTCTTAGAGTTATATTATGCCCTTGTTTTATGTGTGCTTGTGTGTTATATGTTGTTTGCATGAAAACTGCTATATAAATAAAGTCTGATTGATTTGCAAACTCCAGTTTTTAAAATTAATTATCCTGCCTATTGCTTTTTTAATCATTTAATCACTTAATTAGTCGATGGCTTGAATAAAAAAATCCTGGATAACTAATTCTAATTAAAATCTTAATCAAAGTAGCAGAAGATACATTTTTCCTTCAATCACTAAGAAATGAACTGATGATGATGATGATGATGATGATGATGAGTGAGAAGCCTGACGGACACTTTTCTTTTTTTAAGACCCATTGAAAACACTTCAACACACAAACCTCTGAGTTTTAATTTCACCTTTAATAGAAGCAGCCCGACCTCCGTGTGTGAGGGAAAGGCCACGTTTGATTCCAAGAGAAAAAAAGAGAGAGACACCTACAAACACAAAACCTGCCTCAGTTTAACAAGGAGCATCATTTCTCTGCTGCTTTAAGGAAAGGCACCGCTGAGCTCACGGATTTCAGACTGAACTCAAAAACGAAATCTGTAAATAAATAACTTGAATCATGAGTGAACGAGGATTAGAAACTCAATTCATCGTGATTAACACAGGAGCTTCTCTTCATCCTGTTTGATATCGATTCTGGATTTTTCAGCTCAGGTCTGAAATTTAAAAACCTGTGTGTGTTTTTTATTAGATATTTTTTTAAGAAACTGATCGTGTGAGATAAACCTGATGAGCCACAGAGCGTCCACCGTGTTATCTCTCATCCCGTGCACAGAAATAAAACAACAGAATCAGTGGACGATAAAAAAATAAAAGATAAAATAAGTGGCAGAACAGCGACACAGGTCTTTGGCATTCTGTGAAACATTAACTGATCAACAAGCTGAATTTAAAGAAGCAGCAGATTTGACAGCGTTTGAAAAATAGTATTTGTGTTCAAACTATTTTCCAAATGTCGTCCGGCTGCTTCTATACTCGATAATTCAGAAGCTTAATCGTCAAACAGCCCAGTGGCGAAAACATTTATCACGTACAAAAGGACAAAGGTTCGAGAGCCGAGATTCAACCAAACGTTTCACAGTCTACAGCTGAAACAGAACAAAACATACAGGAAAATAAAACTGAATTAAACTTCTTCTGCCACTTTACTTCCATATGATAAAATAAAAAAAACACATAGTTATAAGTAGAGCTTAACAACATCTTCCAAATGAAGATGACAGAGTATTAGATGTTACGCACAGAGAGTGACAGCGGAGGGTTTGAGGATTAAACTGGGAGAAAAATAAAGTAAAATAAAAACCTGTCTTCCCTGAATTTAAAGGTAAAGTGCCCCAAAAAATTAAATATAAATATTGATACAGCAACAACATGGCTTAAAGATGCAGACGTGTGTATCACTTTAAATTTTTACTATATGGAGGCAAAAAGAGCCCAAAGTAGTTTGATCAACACCTAATTTTTTATGTTTTGTCATTTCTACGAAGCACAAAATTAAATTTGAAGTTAGGGTTGAATTTCTCATCTACATATTCTGTTTCCCAAAGTGATACTGCTTGTTTTAAATGACTTAATAAACACTTCTATTATTAAATTGGCGGAGTAGTAATATTAGGTATAATAACACAGCTTCTGACAGTAAACTCTTTATGGCCCCTTTTTGCCTCCATACGTTTAACCCAGTGTTTGATAGTAAATAAATCAGGTTTTAAAACCCTTTAAATAAAACTCTACACTAAATATGTTTTTCTCTCCAGTGAGACGAAGCCTCTAATATATTTTTGCTCCAGGCAACACCACGAAAATATCTTTGGTTAAAACAACAACAACAACAAATTAAAATAAAAATCTATGATCAATGCGTTTGACACAGAGATGAGAGAGTAGTAGTTAGTTTGTCCACTGGACGGCGGTATTGTACAACAGAACCACAGCACCGTCAGTCTGACTTCATTCAGTACCTGCAGCTGGAACAAGCATTTCACCTGTTTTCATTCATTCCCATGATTCTTAACAGGTTTGGATTTGCAGTCAAATGATTGTCTTCATGATTTCAGTCTTTTCCTGAAATTCTAGAATAAAACGCTGGATCTAAAAGCGAAAATACACGAAAGCTTTTACAAAACTACACTAGAAACAATCCTCTCTGGTCAATATGTCATAAATGATAGATCCCATAAACCAAAGAGGACATTTGCATATATATATATAAATTTAAGGCAGCTATTTACTTGCATCAGCATGAAAAGGCTTTTGTGACTTTGAAAGAACCAAACTGCACAAAAAAAAAAGCTTCAACTCTGAACATTTCTTCAGCACGTTTATCTTAAATCTTATCCTCTTCTCCATATTCCTCCTCTTCTGACGTTCTTCCTTCCTTTCCTTGTGTTCCTCTGTAATGTTTCTCCCTTTTATCCACCAGACATAAAGCGGAGGTCTGGGTTCAGTGGAGGTCGCGGCTGCATGTTTCAACTTGAGATAAGAAAAGAAAAGAGAAGCACAATGCTCCCTGTCCACTGCAGCGATCTGCACCTACAGACCTGCTTCTCTCTCAGCCGTGGATTACACGAGGTTTCATATATGCAAAAAAAAAACAAGGACTAATATGTGAGGAGAACGCCATCATTGTTCTCAAGGTTACAGCTTTTACAAACAATCCTTCTCTAGAATTACCTCCTCCGGCAACGAAACCTATCCTGTTCTGTCTTTGTTTCCTCCTTCCTCCATCTAATGTCTGTTTTTCTACTTCCTCTAAACCATTCAGTCAACTTCCAGAAACCGTTCAATCGTCGCTCCTCTGACCGTACAGAGGTCAGAGGTCACACCTCTCCAAATCACATCAGTTCACTTCAGCTCAAACTCTGTTGGTGAAAACTTTAAATCCAACCAGTTCATCCCCGTCGGCTTCACCCTCAACAACAAACGTTTCTACTGCAACCGACGTTTGACGACTTCCTGTCCAAGCCTCGATCTGACACTCGTTATATTCTCTCGACTTATTCAAACCTTTCCGTCACCACAGTCGTAAAGTGTCTGAATCTCAAGTGTGCCAAAAGTCATGGTTGTTTTAAATATAGCCCGTTTCATATTTAATGTTTGTCATATTTCTGTGATTATAACATAAATAAAGTGAAACACGATAAAAACCGTTTAGATTATAACTGAATAAATCTTTGGCACACTCAAGACTCCATTCATAGCGACTTGTTCCTTTGTCTTTCACTGTCATCATCATTTAAGCAAAACCCATCAAAGACAGAGATCGAACAGTAAAGTGATATTAGGTCATTATACAGCTTCTGGGCCTGTTTGTGACTTTACACCTTCTATCTTTTTGATGCTCGTGTTGTTTGTGTGTTTACCTCTTGTAGAAGTCTGGATAAACTATTCTCTGTGTTTCTGTGTTCGAGCTGTTTCTCCGCCTCTGTAGAATAAACTAAAATAAGACTTTGTTTTAAAAAGAAAAACAATAAAAAGCTTCACCCATATAAATTAAGAAGAAAAAAAATATGTACAGACCTCTAAAACAAATTAAATAAAACTCTGACTCAACATATGGCCTCGAGTCGTTCACAAATTCAAAAGAGGATTAAAAACTGGGGGAGAAACAAAGGAGACAGATAAACTGCAAAACATGTGACAGCAGGACAGAGAGAGAGGTGAAAGACAGAGGGATGGACGGAGAGAGGGAGAGGATGAATGAATATGGCACAAATCTGTGAATCTTTGGTGTTTGCAGGCAGACGGAGCAGAGCAGGCAGCGAGTTTCAAGTCTTTAACCGAGTGGGAATCAAACTCCAGCATCGTCCGTCCGATTTCTGTCCGGTCATCCCTTTGTTCGCTTGTCCTTCACCTGCTGTCTCTCAGTATTATCGTCTTTTATTATCCCTCTTTCTGTCTGTATCGTCTCGTGCTTCAATTGCTGTATCCTCCTTTTCTTATTCTGCGTTCACGTCCCTCTCTCCATCAACATTTACACAATTTGTCTCCTCTGAGGAAAGAAAATCACCTCCTCCGTCCCTCTAGGGGGCAGTAGTCCTGTTTTGCGGAGGTTAGATCCTCTAAGAAGGCCCTCGGACCTCCCTCACCGCCTCCTGCAGTCTCTGGCGATAGGACTCATAGCGGCGCATTACCGCCTCCCTCTGCTCCTCCTCCTCCTTGTCGAGGATCCGCAAGAAGTTCCGCAGCTCGGGGATGGAGAAGGCGTCCCACTGAGGAGATGAACAAGAAAACCCATTCATTCAAAAGTTTTTAAAATCTTTTATTGTTTTGTCTCTGTGCAGAAAAACAAGAGGAAGAATTCAACTGTAAATGTTGGAGGAAGAAGAAAAGAAAAAAGGAAGATAATAGATTAAGAGGAAGAGGAAGAGGAGTGTGATGTTACCATGACTTCTCCGGTTTGTTGTTCCCTCAGTACGAAGCTGAGCGTGTCAGTGTCAGGTCCCGCCACCAGACGAAGAAACAGCGGCTGCTCGCCATCCGCCAGCTTACACACGTACACTGCAACACACACACACACACAATTTAATTACAGCGACCACAGTGCTCTCTGCATATATGTGGTTTGATGGAGGCATGGAGACTAAATTAACCTCTGTGTGTGTGTGTGTGTGTGTGTGTGTGTGTGTGTGTGTGTNTGTGTGTGTGTGTGTGTGTGTGTGTGTGTCCTGGCCGAGGATCAAACAAAGTGTGCGTCACAATAACAACCAGTAATTTACAAAACCAGAGAGTGAATGTGAAATGTGAGACACGCGTTGTTTGACTGATCCTGTGTCAGTGAACGAACTGTCACAGAACAACTTTATATTCAGGTCGATACCGATTCTGATCATTGTTAGACGCTTCGGAGAGAGAGAGAGTGTGTGTGTGTGTGTGGCGGCTCTGAGAGGCCAAAGCAATGCAACATGGGAAAAGACACAAACTCAGGTCAGATGCTGCAAAGTGAGAACAAAACCAGATCCTGGAAGACTGCACTGAGTTTTCTGTATTTGGTCGTACGTTTTGTATTCCGTCGTATTTACTGTGTTCTGTGTTTCTGTCTCCTCTGTCTTATATTTGTTTGTTGCAGCTTTTTCTCTTAAACGTTGCACATGTCAAAATATTAAAAGCACGGTGGTCTGAGTCTTCTTGTGTTTTGTCTGTTTCCCTCCATGTTTTATCATAAAGTTGTTCCGAGCTCTCAGAACCACCGTAGATTTTCTCTTCGAAAGAAAACAACAGAGAATTGAACAAAATGTCAAACGTGACGTGATCTCAAACATCAACAGACCGGCTGTATTTAATCTTTCCTCTTCTCCTTCAGGCAGACGGACGAACTCCACTGGAGCCACTTTGTTTCATCCCGACTCTGAAGGTCACAGACGTTTCTACATTTCCAGACAACACTTGAATATTTCTGATGAAACTTCTCCTTTTTTCATTGAACTGAATAAAAGCTTCGCCACAACCATTGTCAGAGACACTTTAAATATGAGCTCAAGTACATTAGGGGTTTAAAATACATGTGTTGTCAGACATGTGTCTAGACAGTGTTTTTATTAGCAGACTGTCTCACTGTACATTTCATGTAATGAGACAAAACCAGACCAGAAGCTTTTGAAGAGGAGAAAAATCTCTATAAAAGTCTGGAGGCAAAATGTTTCACAGACTTTAAACAAGAAGTTGCACAATTCACTTGACATTGGTTTTTGTTCTGCAGTTTAAATCCACGTACGAGGAGAATAAACTGAGTTTTCATGACTTGTATGAGAGAATATTTGAAATCCAACGAGCTGCAACAGCTGCTGATTCATAGAGTGTGTAAACGTGTGAGTTAGCTGTTGATAGTGGGGGGGATCCCTGAGGCATTCAGTGAAGCCAGGGCGAGGTGTCCAGAAATACACACAAACACACACACACAGACACACACAGACAGACACACACAGACAGACACACACACACGGCACCATGTCAGTGCCAAAGCATCTGAGATGGAGCTTGGCATCACCGGAATGAAACGCAGTCTCCACTCCTCTCGCTTTCACTCTCTCACACTATAACACACACGTACACAAAGACACACACAAAGACACACACATGGTCAGAGAGCTCAGTCTTACCCTGCTCCTCTCTGCGGTAGCGTTTGTACAGGGCGTATTTTGCCGGGTTGTCTGCGACCGTGAACTTGTTCAAAAGGGCGACGATCACCTGCAAACACACGAGAACGAAACGTTGAGATTCAACGGTTCAGACGGAGACACTGACACAGACCGCTCTGATGTGACGAGCTCAGAGACAGTTAACAACTCGCTGCACCGCTCATGGGACACTTTGGCCTCGGTGCTGTTAGTGAAGGAATGATTTGGTGCAGATTTCACTTCATATGACCATGAGATTATCTCACGCTGTTTAAAATGCTCTAAATCTCCAGGTTCTATTCTAAAACAATACTCAAAGCAAAGGTCCAACATATATCACAACCCGTTGTACTTTTAGTCGAAACATGGTTTTACAAGAATACTTGGACTGTGTGGTACTGATGTACTAAAGTCAGTCAGGTGAACAAAGTTTTTGATTAAAGTTCAACATCAGGCGCCTTCTGTTCAACATCAAGTTGAGCCCATATGTCTTCAGATGTTAATTAAGTTATCCAGCACTGTGTGTGTGTGTGTGTGTGTTGGCCACCTGGCGGACTGTGTTATTGGAGCTGATGTGGAGGGTGTTGATGACACCGCGCGGCAGATAAAAAGCCTCCTCCACCACGGCTCCTCCTGCTCCTCCTGCTCCTCTCTGACCCCCCCGCACCGTCACCGGCCTCCGCAAGTCCATCTGGACTTTGACGAAACCGGTGTACACACCAGAGGACCTCTGAGAGAGAGAGAGAGAGAGAGAGAGAGAGAGAGAGAGAGAGAGAGAGAGAGAGAGAGAGAGAGAGAGAGAGAGAGAGAGAATGTTTTAGCGTTTACATGTTTGTTCCTGAAAAACAGAAATATTATAAACCATGACACAATAAAAAGTTCCCAGAGTAGAAGTTTGTGTGTGTGTGTGTGTGTGTTGTATGATCGCTCCACATGAGACCAGTAAACCCAGCGTGTCCTGTAGGACAGATGGTCCCAGACGAAGACAGAGCATCTTAATCTCATCACTCCATACGGAGCCTGCAGGTCTGCGACTGCACGTACGGGTTTATGAGCACGAGCATGAAAAGTCTCAAGTGGACAAACAAGATGGAGAAGAACAGTTTGTCATCCTGTTTCAACTCTTGTTTTTTTTGACTAAGAGAAACAAGCGTTATCGCAGATGAAGTGATGGATGAGACAAAGAAAGGAATAACATTTTCAAGAGTTTACGTCTGGAAACAGCGAGTGATACCATCAGCTCTGACTAATGCAACATGCAGCAGCTTTCAGGATTATTCAACCGGTTCTGCTGCACCTGAAACATTTCATCTGTTCTGGTCTGGATATGAAAGAGTTTCAGAGCCTCGTGGTGTGAATCCAGCTTCAGGAACGTTTCATGCTGCCAAGTTAAACACTGTGGGGGAGAACAATAGCAGGAATATCATCACATCGCTCTGATGTGACTGCTGAGGAATGCTGGGAGCTGAGGGACGGTGGTGTGGGTGTTAAACCGTAACACCACCAACTCACTGATTCAGCCAGAGTGTGTGTGTGTGTGTGTGAGTGTGTGTGTGCGTGTGTGTGTGCGTGTGTGTGTGCGTGTGTGTGTGCGTTCTCCACTCACCTGCGTCATTTTAAGGTGGTCTGTGGTCAGACCGTTGTACTGCTCGATCTTCTGCCTGATTTCCTCTCTGCTGAACTCCGTCCGCAACTCTCTCTCCTTCTCAACATCCTGACACAGAGACGACGAGAATAAAAAGAGAGCGTCCTGATCAGTCACGAGTCGACCTCCATCATTATGAAACAGTTTCTGTTCAGATTATTAAAGGACGTATACTGCAGACAAGTAAACGTATAAAAGTTGACTCCATTCTTTTACCTTTGCGAAGGAAAACATAAGAAGTGAAGCTTGTTTGCTGCATTTGTACTTTACGTCATTTCACGTTGCTTTGGGGCGAAATAGAGCGTTATGGTGTTCTTCATGTGATCCAGCCCGTATAGCAGATAACTCGAGGAGGCTGTATCTTAACTTTATGTGCACATCCATTAGCTTTGCTGCTACAGACGTTTTTTAAATAAATTTCAAGCATAAGTAAACATCATGTCAGACATCAGGAAAATCAAGAAATAACCATCTGGGTAAGGGACAGTAACACAAACTCAGCGCAGCGTGTATGAACTGGATGAGGTTCGGGTTTGAGCATGAAACAGAATGATCAAGCTGCTTTGGTTAGACCCTATATACAACACGCGTGAAGCCAAACGTATTTCACTCGTCCCCCAAAATAATCTGAAAGTGTGAAAAGGCCCTGACTGCTGGAGGGTCAGCGCCTGACAAAAACACAGCTCCAGTCAACCCGGTCCCATGCTGAGCGACTGACTTCTAATTATAGACAAAACATGGAAGCCTCCTGCAGGACAGAGCACGCAAGTCATCCACAAAACAATCCCAAACTCTAGAAAGCAAGAGTTGTTTGACTGGAGGCCACGTGGGGCTGAAGTGTGTGTATGTCCGCACGTGTGGCTAATGTACGGGAGAGCATCAGTCGGCAGTCGATGCCGTGTTTGTGTCTAAATAACTATAGAAAGTGCGGAAGGGCAAGACAAAGGTCAGCTGGTTAGGGAGCTCCAGATAAAGACGACAGAGGCACATGTACGGTGCACAGACGTGAACAGACGACATGTGACTCGATGAACTCTCCAGATTAATCGAATCAAGTGGAGTCAGACGCAAACTCAAGTCAACAAGCGACTGTGGAGAACACATGTCGAGATATAAATCAGGTCACATGACAAAACCAAATGTGTTGCCTCATCAGTTGTGCACAGATCAGAATCTGCTCAAATGTTTTCAAGAAAATCTCCGTGAAAGACACAGAGCAGAGACAATCAAGAATCTCCAGCCGGAGGGGTCGACTGCAGCAGTTCAACCCCGACACTATCCACCACCACAAACTGCACAACATGAATCCAATGACTTAATACACCGTCTCCAGACAGAGAGATAAAGTTTTCCCTATTTATTTGTTCTTATTATGTCTTTATACTCTCATTTCTTATTTTACTATCGTTTGTTTTGTTACTACGGAGCAGTGAGTCAATGTCAAACACAAACACATGTACATTATACTCAATATTCATTATTTGATTTTAGAGAAACAAACATTTTTATTCACTGGATTCATTATTATATTCAAGCAACAAAAAATATAAATATTTCCTTGATCACACATGACTGTGTATTCAATACTTTATAAGGTTGGACTAATGTGGGCCCAGTTGTCTCAGTTTTGATATTTCATAGATTTAAACTTCCAATTCCATCTGTGCAATAATCAAAATATTGAGGTGCAGCTCTTCTCCTCTCACGTTTACATATCACCAGCTCTGATGACTAAAATTAATAAAGCCAACATATGCAGATCAATATATTATGTATGTACGTATGTGTAGAGTCTGACCGTGTCCATTCAGAGTCTTAAGACAGTTTTATTCCCCAGTGTAGTCTGTGCTTACATGGGCATAGTGCAGCTCCCCTCGGCATCTATTAAAAACCACACACACACACATGCAAGCACATAGTGCACAATCCAAGGAGGCTCTGAAGGCACACACACCCTTATATGGAAAACACACACTGCTCCAGAGAAAGACAAGGTGCCAATACAACAAACACACACAAACACACACTCTGCAGCTCGGAGAGTGTTTGACACTGTGTCCATTGAGGGGTTGAATAGCTCTGAGAGAACACCAGGCTGAGAGCGAGCTGAAGTGAGTATCATGTTCAAGCAACATGAATCTGAAAGAATTTGACTTTAAATCACGTTTAAATGAAGATGTTCTCTGTGGGGGGGGGGGGCCTGTCTGAATCTGTCCGTCAGTCCATCAGGGACAGACACTGACTCATCAGGATTTAACTGAAGGCCAATGAGAACAACAAATCTGACCACCCTCATATTCATGTCTGCGTCCATCGTGACGTTGAACCGCAAACGTCGTTATTTACAGATTCGTTAAGGCATCAAACCTTGATTCGTCACGCCACACTTGACCTTTTCCCCCACAATCCGCGTCAACTTCCAGCAGCTGCCAGTTCAGATGAGTCAAAGCGTCTTAGCGGGAAGAGACAGGTAAGGAGATTAACTTTCATCTCACAGTCCACGGAGACAGGAAAGAAGCAACACAGAAAAAATGACATAACAAATGATCCTGACTCAGAGAAAACCTTCCACTGGTGAATTTGGATGTTGTGTTTATGTTTGTGGGTCAGAAGCTAAACCTGGTGATCGAGAAGATGAGCGACTTCTGACCTACATCAGTGGCTCTTACAGCGCTCCATGACTAGGCTCTGTCGTTAATCTTATTCATACATCTATGTTATTTAACGGAAGCTTTTAATCGGCGTTCCACTGAATCTAGGAAACTGTTGTCTCCTGGAATCAACTCAAAATCTATTTAACAGCTGGAATTTAGGTTAAAATGGTTTAAAGGTGATACAACAAGTATCGTGCAATCAAAATCCAGCTGTAGATCATCGGCTGCTTCAGAAGGAACTTTTTATTTCCTCGTCACTAATCAAGATCAATCCTGAACTCTGCTCTCCCTGATTACTTGCGTTGTTGTTTCACTTTCAGGCGATGTAATGGCATTGCTTGCATCTTGACCCTGACAAGTTTGTTTATAACGTCGGAATTACCCGAAATACGGAATTTCCCTGTTGTCCAGGTTTTACTCAGGAGGTGAAACATCAGAGCACTCCAGTGTAAGTTTGTGCTGGGCTTCAATCAAGGCTGCCACCAAAAACGTTTTTTTGATTATTTTATTATACTATTTCTGGCATCATCTCCTCTAGGAAAACTTTACAGCCTTGAGAAAAACCCAAAAACTAATTCTTCTTGATTATACTGGAGGCCTCTTGCAACCTGTTGACTCATAAAGATTCTTTTGTCAAGAAAAAGTTTTTTTTTTTTTTTAATTCTTGTCAGGGTGAAGAAGCTCCTGAAAAAACCTTGTATCATCACGAGACACAAAATCTCTCCAGCCCAGATAATGAAAGTCTTTGTGGCAGGAATCAGTTTTGTGTTGAGTAGAATCTTTGCACTCCGGACTCGGATAATTTCTCAAAATAAACATAGTTTCAAATTAAAAATTAAAATATTTGAACTAGCTGTGGTCAGAAGAATGCCTTGTTATGTCAGAGCTGGGTAAAACAAGTCAGAGGAGTCTTAACTGGCCCGTTACATCCCCCGTGAGAGTTTCTCCTAATGAGATTATTTGACGTCCAGGACAGAAAGTGTTCAGAGGAACTGCGAGAGTGAGAGCGACCGAATCCAAACTAACAGGAGAAGCAGAGCACAGCGAAGCTGCAACACAATGAGGTCATGGTCCCATTTAAGAACACAGCGAACCCTCCCACTGAAGCTATAAGATCAACACCGGACTCAAAAGACACAGGAGTGGACAGGGAGAAAAGACAAAGACAGAAATCACTGAAGGTTTCAACAGAGCAAAAAAGTTCTCAAGAGAAGTTGACTGATTTGTAGGTTACTAGAAAGAGAACTGTTTGACTGATGCTGACACTTTGGTTGTGCATATCTAAAAATGTCTTGAATTAAATTAAACATTCAAATTCACCAAATTTCATGTCTACATCTTGCACGTATTGCACAAAAAAACAGAAGAGCATTTAAAAAAGCAGAAGAGGCCTAAGCTGGAAAAAGCAGAAATGAAAAAGAGATATAAAAAAAACAAGGGACGAGACAGAAAAAGACGAGCGAAGAACTAACAGCTCCAGGCCTGAGAGGAAAGAGAGCAACGCTGAACACGAACCTCTGAAAGTTTTATATTTATCTCTGTGTCAGTATCTCCCTGTTCCCAAGCTGCTGGCTTCAGTTTAGTCTGAATGATGTCGGAGACAGAAATGGCATCTTGTTCCTCAACCTTTGATAACACACCTGCAGCATTCCTGCCTTTGTTTCACACCGTCACACGCGTCTGCATCCACTGTCTGTAAACAGATGACATCACCATGCAAGGAGCGCATATGTGTGTAGACAAAACATGCTTAGCTCGGCCGAATAGACCCTGAAGCTCCAGACTTGGTGTTTGCATGCTGTGGGTGCTACAGGACCCAGTGTTGCAGACTAAACACAGAGATTAGCTGTGCTAACTGGAGGTGACCTATATATTAAAATGACTATAAAAGACGTTTTTGTTCCTGTGTTCACATCCTCAGAATTTCCACTAAGCTTTGCATGTTGAACGTGAAGGTCATTACATTTAGGTAAATGTTACCAGGGGAGTTGACATCGCCTGTTCGACACATAACAATCAAAATCTAATTAAAATGTTGTGTCATCATCAATTCAAAAACCCAAATATTGACTCGGGCGTCACATGGGATGAAGAAAAGCAGCAACGTGGCCGACGGTTTCTGATCTCAGCCTCTAGATCGTCTTTCAATGGTTCTTCTTCCTTCAAGATGTGTTTCGTGGTTATTATTCCGTCAGTAACCATAGTCCCACTATGTCATAACCATTTTTTACCCTCCTCACCCTCCCACTGCTCCTTTTTCTATGCTACTTCCTGTTGAGTCCAGGGGGGGAAGTTGAGATCGGCCACACCTATCCTCCCAGCATTCCTGCAGTAATGGGCACACGCATGCACGAACAACGCTGCGTAGATGTGCAGCACAAGTGGAAGCGCTCACACCTAGCAACACACATACCT